TGAGGGTGCACTCAATCCCTTCATCCAGATCGTTGATAAAGTTATTAACCAAGACTGGCCCCAAAACGGAGCCCTGGGGAACACCGCTCGTGACCGGCTGCCAACTGGACTTAACTCCATTCACCACTACTCTCTGGGCTCAGCCACCCAACCAGTTTTTTACCCAGCAAAGAGTACGCCCGTCCAAGCCATGAGCTGCCAGCTTCTCAAGGAGAATGCTATGGGAGACTGTGTCAAAGGCTTTGCTAAAGTCCAGGTAGATGATGTCCACAGCCTTTCCTTCATCCACCAGGTGGGTCACCAGGTCATAGAAGGAGATCAGGTTGGAAATGGACTTCAAGAAATAATGCTGTTAACAGGACCAGTATACTGAAAAAAACCCAACTCTTGCAAGCAGGCTGAGCATTATCTACCTAATTTTTTATTGGGTTCGAAGTCTTTAGTAGGATGACTGGTCATTGTGCAGAAGCAGAGGATACTGTCTAGAAACAACATCGAACAGCATCACTGTCTGTATCAGAGAAAATTTTGTCACTGCAGCTGCACCTGCATTGGCATTTAAGTTCAGATCATAAGCTTTTGAAGCAAACTTCCCAATTGTCACCATTTGTTGCCTTTTGCTTTGCACTGCAGAGCATGTCAGAGCACATACACTGGGTCCCTAATGTAGAGGTAATCTGACAGTCTGTGAGATTCAGCATTGTTTTCCAACACAAGCAGATCTGTGGGTAATTTGAATAATTTGTCAGTAAATTAAATTTACTCACTTCTAATCTATGTAATACAGGCTTTAGCAGCTTCTAATCAACATTACTATGTTTGCACACTTTGTTATCCTAACAAAGTTTTTGTGGAGGAGAGAAGAGGCTGAACTTTTAAAAAAATGTTCCATAATAGTGAATGTCTTCTTGGAGGAGGATAATTTGGTTGTCCAATAAATGCCTCGCTGGCATGAGTAAAATGAATGTTAAATACAAGACAACTCAACACCCAGTTTTAGGCACATCATGTGGCTCAGACATTCCTCTCTCTCTTTTTATAATGTGCTAAGTTACATACAAGCATTTAAGAGAGAGAACACATTTCTAAACGAGAACGTAATTTGTGTGGTCTTCCACCAGATGTCCCTACCGTAAGCCCTGCAGAGTCCATTTATTTACACACCAAGTAGTTTTGTTACCAGGTGAGACAGGACCAGTGAGCAGTGCCAAGTGTGGTACCTGAGGTGCGAGCTGCGCTGGGGAGGCAGACGGGGAGCGAGGGCATGAGAGGAAGGTATGGAGGAGGCTCTCCTTCCTGCTCACGGTGACACCGTCTCTTCCACCTGATGCTATTTACTCATGCTGCACTTGCTGCCTGAATGGTGTATGCTGTGGCTTTTTTTTTTTTTTTTCCTTTCTTTTTTTTGGACAGTGGGGAAAAAAATCAGAGTGGCTGGTTAAATAATGTAGTTGGGAAGGGTTTTTTATTCCTTAACAGGGTGATGCTGTGGCCAGGGTTTATCTGGGTTGGAGGAACCTGTAGAACCGGTATCTTCGTACAAACTCCAGGTCTGGCTGTAACACAAGGAACAGGACAGGCACATTAGGGCTTTTAAAATGACCTCTAAGAGGCAAATGAAGCAGCCCTGAGGAGGAAGCAGCCATATCTATGAGCAGCGCGAATCGACAGGCGTGAGTGTTGCATACCTTCATGCACCCACTATACACTATATCTGTAATAAAAGAGTCACAGCCCCAGACATGGGCTCTGCTGCATTTGCACATGCAAAGCTTTTGAACTGGTTGCTGTCGCTGTCAAGTCTGGTGTGCTGTTCTGCTGCTGCTTATGTGGATGAGCCCAACCTGAGCAAGAGTATCTTGCCTCACTATGAACCTGATCATGGGGATGCTGTTGGCTCTTCACAAGATACAAGGCTACATGTTTTCACAGTGGACTATGAGTCTGTGCAAATTCCCTATGAAGTTACTCTTTGGATCCTCCTTGCCTCTCTTGCAAAAATAGGTAAGTAGAAAATGGGATCTTGGGTCCTCCTACCTCAGCAAGAAGTTAAAAACATACCATGCAAGCAAATATCTTCTATGCATTCTTGTAGTTGGGATTGTTTTTACAACTTCTGTCCTCAAAAGAACAGGTGTGTTCATTACTATGACGATGACAAAATTCCACCTCTGAATGCTTCCAGCTTACTTAAGTAAATATATGACCTCTAACCCTCATGTCTCTTGGGTTGTCTATGCTAGTAAGTAGCAACAGAGCTCCCCCACACAGTGCTGTCCATCCCTTTTTCTAGTCTTTAAACATCACAAGATATCAGAATTTACAACCTGCCACAGCTGTAGAAATCAGTAACACCAGACTGAGCCTTCAAGCGTATTGAATTTGTGGGAGCAAAGTTGGAAGAATTCTTCTGTTGTACGAATAATAGGAAACATTTCCCTATAAGTCTTTGTTTTACGTGTTTGCTGTTTAAAGTTACTCAGAGAGGGACTGAGAGTCTAAGAGAGTGTAGGTCATCAGAAATGTAGGGCAAGTGCCTTTTGAATACATACCAATCCATCTAGCTTCTATTAGAGCTCCATGTAGGTATCTGAATAAAGACAGACAACTCATGGAGAAGTAGGGACTGCAGTTAACATCACAAAAATGGCTCATCATGTGTCTTACACATTTGCATGGCTGGGCTCAAATTATTTTGCCCATTCAGAATTAATGCAGCAGTATCAAATAAATGAAGAAGATGGCAATAATGGGAAGAGCTGCACACATGTGATCTCCCTGTCCTTTTGATCTTTCCATGGGATTTTCAAACATTACTATAGAACAGTCTGGTAGGCAGCACTGATGATTTTCTGGAGGTGGCCTGAAGATAAACATTTTTCATGTCATAGTCACACAATTGACAAAAATCATTGCTGCTGACCATGATTTGCCAGTTTCATAATAGCTGATCTCAATCTAATTCTTATAAACAAATGTCTTCACTGCTGAAATAATAATAAAAATTTTCACAAATCAAATTTATTGTTATGGCATCAGCAGAGTGTGTTAGCAGTGAGCATATTGATCAGTTTCTTTATTCATCATCCATAAAAGCACAGGACTTGCCATATGGCACATCTGTTCAATATTCTTGTTTTGAGCAAGAAATAGGTACTTTAGAAGAACTGTGTGTTGCCTCCCAGGCAGACCTGTTCCTTAGCAGGGAGTTTCAAATAATATTATTTTTGATAAAAAGTGTGGAGCTGCTGACTTCAAATCTGCTTGGAAGAAGGAGTTAGTCTGAATAATCTGGTTACCCAAGGAAGAATATTTCCAAAGTGTTTGTCATGATTTAGCTGGCAACAGCTAAGCACCACACAGCTGCTTGCTCACCCTCCCCACCTCTCTGGTGGGATGGGGGAGGGAATTGGAAGTGTAAAAGTAAGAAAACTTGTAGGTTGAGATATGAACAGTTTAATAATTGAAATATAATAATAGCAATAAAAATGGTGAAAGGGAAAACAAGAAGAGGAGCAAAACCCAGGGGAAAAAAAAAAAGTGATGCATCTGCTCACCACCCGCCGACCGATACCCAGACAGTTCCCGAGCAGCGGTCGCTGCTCCCCGGCCAACCCCCCCCAGTTTATATACTGAGCATGACGTCATATGGTATGGAATAGCCCTTTGGCCAGTTTGGATCAACTATTCTGGCTGTGCCCCCTCCCAGTTTTTTGTGCCCCTGGCAGAGCATGGGAAGCTGAAAAGTCCTTGACTAGCATAAGCAGTACTTAGCAACAACTAAACCATCAGTGTGTTATCAACATTATTCTCCTACGAAATCCAAAACACAGCACTGTGCCTGCTACTAGGAAGAAAATAACTCTATCCCAGCCAAAACTAGGATACTGTTAAAAATTTTCAGTGTTTTATTCAGGTATTATCTTCTTTCTGGATTTCAAGATTTCAGGGTGGGAAACATTTCTGAGATCTTGAAAGGCAAAACAATCCCCTTATTCTGTAAAACTGACAGAAGACTGGAACATGATTTTTTTAATTAAGAAAGGAGATGAATAAAGTTATGATCTTGACTTACTTTTTGGTAAAAACAAATAGTCTCCTAAGTAAATTATTTAAAATTTCATAAAAATAGTTTTCTTTTCCTTTACTTTTGAACATTGATAATTCGAGGGTCACAGAAATGCAGTCATGGCATTAGCTTCTAGCGTTATGGGATGATGGTTGACCTAGTTTCAGGCATGGAGATACAGCCATTGGATTTATAGGTTTCTTAGTCTACCTCATTCTTTTAAATTCTGAAAAATTCCTTACATTTCTAGTAGATGCAAGTCTCATTCACGATATGATTACATAGTTCCTGGTACAGAGACTAGATGAGACATTCCTAGACATTTTCTGAGTATTGGTATCAGTATTCGTGTCAAATGGGAAGAATTATATGAACGCATTTGCAGTAGTAGTACCTCAAGGTGGGCAGGAGGAGATTCACACCTACATTTATATGGTAAGCGTAGCCCTTTCTCTGTTAAAAAAGCACAGCTACATCTATGCTTGTAAACTAACAAGCACCCTGTCAGGAAGCTGTGTGTGACTGTCCATACCACATCAGTGTCCGTGTGCTCCTTCTCAGCTCCAGCCCATGTCGATAAACCTTCTCCCAGGCAGTGCCCGGGCAGACTGTGGGCCACGATCTGTTCCCACAGGCAGTTTGGATGTGACCACTTCTTGCTGGGTTAGGGAAGAGAATTTGGTTGTGTGGGTGCAAGCTGAACCTTTCTGCTTGGAAATTCTTTGGCCTGCTTAATTTGCTAGTGTTGACTCAGCCTTTATTCTAGTGAGGAAAAAAAAAAATTCCTTGGGATGCATTATTTTCCTCAGATATTTGATGGCTGCTGGTAGTTCTTTCAGCTCTGCTGAAATGACTGGCTTTGTTTCTGTAAACTAACTCATAAGTTTCTTTACAAAATGTTGTTTACCTTATGCAGGAACAGCAGTTTTCCTAGAAAAGCAAGGTTAATCAGCTTGTACAAAGCCTTATGTTACTGTGGCTTGATTTCTGCTGCTTTGGATATTTTGTTGTTCATAAGTACTCATTCCCTCCGTCTGTGGATCACCTGGAGTCCATGCAATGCTTCAGGGGAGTGTTGGAAGTGGAGGGAGCTGAGCAGACCGTGGCATCTGAGCTGCTCCCTGCTCCCTTGGGCTTCTCCAGGCTCCTGGTTGGCCCAAATCCACCAGGAGCTCTGCAGCCAGGGGCCTTCCTCAGCACTGGGGGGAGCTGCCTTCGAACCTGCAGCCAGGGATAGGGGTCTCTTTGAGATGGAGGGACAGCACTGTACCTCAGAGCTTTGGCAGTAGTGGACGGGCAGCAAGGATTCTTGAAGAATATTTTCTTTCCAAATTGTGGAGTACCTTTTCAAAGAGGTTTCTGCATTCCTAGAAGTGGAGTTTAGATTCAGACATACTTGCTCAGAAATCGAGAGCTGGGGAGCAGGAAGAGAAGAGATTCATAGCCAAATTCTTCCCCTGCTTTAGTGATACAAGTCTGGGAATGTTTGATTTTGAAGGGAACAGTACTGCCTGTTTTTACTTTCATAATCCTAACAGCAAAACCTGGCTGTCTGAAGACAAAGTATTAAAAGGCAGGCAGAACATCTGTCTGACATCAGGTTAATTTAAACTTGAATAATACCCTAATGTTTTATTCAAGGTTTCCATCTCTATCACCGATTACCAAGACTCATGCCTGAAAGCTGCATCCTGATTGCCATTGGAGTACTAGTAGGAGCAATCATCTTTGTTTCTGATCACAAATCTCCACCGGTGATGAACACAAGTATTTACTTCTTGTATCTTCTTCCACCCATTGTCCTGGAGGAGGGTTATTTCATGCCAACTCGGCCATTTTTTGAAAACTTTGGGTCCATCCTGTGGTGGTCTGTGCTGGGATCTCTGCTAAACTCGTTTGGGATTGGCCTCTCCCTTTACGGAATCTGCCAGATCGAAGCCTTTGGCCTGACTGACCTGAACCTGCTGCAGAACCTGCTTTTTGGCAGCATGATTTCAGCTGTGGATCCTGTGGCAGCTCTGGTAGTTTTTGAAGAAGCGTCTGTTAATGAGCAGCTTTATATGATGATCTTCGGAGAGTCATTGCTAAATGATGGCATAACTGTGGTGAGTTTCTTTCCACTCCTTGTCTTCCCCTCTTTGGGCTCTTTTGGCTTGTAAGGTTATTGGGCACAGGACAAGAGCAGCTCTAAGGAGATCTTAGATACATTATTTATTTTATGGATACTCCACTCCATTACACACAAGTAATTTTAATGTATGTAAAGATTCCATCTTATATTAACTCCTTCGAAAACATACTGGTTTAGAGGCGCTGGAAGAGGGAAGCACACATACACATTAGACATCACATCTTCCTCTTGCATTCACTGAATTGAATGTATAACCTACAGCTGATTTTGCTCGTAGGATCAGTGTAAGACCTAGGAACATTCTTGACATTGTGCAAGCAAATAAATAGAAAATTGTACTGCTTAAAGACTGAATGAAGCAGGGGTAGCAGTACAGGAGTCTCTGCCTTGTCACATGCCTTAGAGAGCCCTCTGAAAAAAACAACCCAAACCACCAGACGTGGACAACCTCTGGAGGCCATGCTGCTTCCTCCAGCCCCTTCTAGGAAGGTCCCCAGAGACCTTAGACAGGAATTCCAAAAGCTACTAAAAACTTTGCATAATTCTTTTTTTACCAGTAAAAAACCTGATATCTGACAAATATTCGCCTTTCTTGGCTGTCTTATCTCAAGTGTCCAGAAACAATGCTTCTGGAATAAGAGAGATTTTGTTTGTTGTTTTTTTTTTTCTTTTTTTTTTAAATAGGAAAAGAGTGTTTTTACAGAGCTCCTTTTGCTAATACTTTTCCCCTTTTTCATTAGTTCTACTAAAACTTGGAGCAACCTGAAATTCTAGGTGTAAAATACAATTGACAAAAACACTTGGAATATGCATGTTTTTCAAGGAAGAAATTTCAAGCAGGAAATTCATTGCTCAGAAAGCAACAGAACTGCTCATGTGCTGCAAGTTAACTACAAGTTAAGGAGTTTTGCTAGATAAGATCTTTACAGAATTTAAATCACTGGAATCTAAAACACATAAAAACTATCCAGATACTGTTATACATGAGGTACAGCACAACTTGGACGTGTGAAGTCTGTACAGAGTTCATTGCTGAACGGCTTCATGGGAGGAGTGCAGTTTATGAGTAATGCAAAAAGGAAAAGGAATGAAATACTGTTGCAGCCACAGCCTATTGATCATAAATCCTTCCTCTTGGTGAATCAGAGATGTAGGGCTGATGTAGAACTAAGGGACAAATGTTACTTAACTTTACACGTAAACTGCTTATGTGTTATAGCTGTAACAAAAAAATCCCAATGCATCTATCATTTCCACCTGTCTTTGTGGTTCCTTCAAGTGCAGACCTCAAAAAGTAATACCTCTTCCTCACTCTAGAAGAGCTTGCTTCATCCTTTTTTTCACTGGCTCTCTACCTTGCCTTCCCTTTGTTCCCAGCTGTTATTTATGATGTAGGTCCAACTCATGATGGTATTTACATGAGCTTTCAGTCAGGATCCTTATACAGCATAAATGTGTAGTGACAGAAAGCCTTTAAAAACAGTGGTATTTAAGGCATTCCTCAGGAGCAATAGGTTAGTTAGCAAAAGAGATGAAAGGACTGTACATGGGGAGTGTTGGCTACATCACTGTGAGTTCCCTTTGCCCCACATGCCCTCATCTTTGCGGCTCTTCTCACAGCAGCTATGTTGCAATCAGTTTGTCAGCTCCTGCTGATGCATCTCTGCATCGCCCACCTCTCATCCATTTTCTGGGCATTCAAGTTTTCAAAATCTCTGCCTGGCTTCATGTTTGAGAAGACTGAAATATTTGTCACCTGGGTGGAGCCCAATAGGTGGCTTTCTCCCCTCCGATACCCCACTTGCTTTTTAAAAGACTTTGAAACTATTTATCTCAGGTGTCTTATCGTACCATTTCCTCCCCATTTCTCTCTTAACAGTTTCCTTTGAGTTAACGTTACATGTTTAAAAAGATAATATCACCAAGATATATTAAGCATACGTATTTTTTGATTGTTTAAATACAAATATCCCCTGGTTCTCTCCAGTCTCTTTATCAGCTTGAACATTTTTTTCCCCAGCAGGAAAAACTGGTATGAATTTTTCTGAACTTGTGTATTACATTTGAGGCAACAATGGTTCCCTCTCCTATATTTAGTTCAATATCCTGGTATAAAAAAATCACAGAATAACAGACTGTGGAATTAGAATGATGATTTAGGAGTCATGCCTTTGACTTACGGGACTGGGACAAAAGTGGATAATTCACCCTTTTTACGCATTTGTACCTTTTCCTATTCTCCTCAGTAGGGCCATGTCTGTGGATGGAACAAGAAGGCTCCAGGTCCTGTTAATTGCTTCTTTTCCCCGTTGCTTCTGAGTGGGGTGTTAGCATCAGAATAGTGCAGACAGCAACAGGACTGGTCCTAGCATGTATCATACATTAGTGGAGTTCCAAAGCCCTGTTCAAAACAGTGATGTTGGTAAACCCAGTGTAGATTTCATGCAAACCTGAACACAGGTGGAGGACCCTCATTTTGCTGCAAAGTGTTTCAGGCATCTGAAGCTCTGCTCCTGCATATACACAGACCATTTCTGTCTCAACAGGAGCTGAGTACCTGTGTGCATCAGGAAATGGAATATTTCCCCTGACTACTTCATCTCTGAAGCTTGATTTTAGAAACACTGAGAACACCTACATGTCATGCTGTACTCAAAATGAAGTGGCAGCAACTATTTTCTCTAATGGTGCCCCCTCTTGTTTGTATGCAGTAGCAGAGCAGTTAAAGAAATCTACTGCATGATGGACACCCAAGTAAAATTAATTTATTTGTTTGAAGGGATTTGAATGTACCTCTCTGATGTCGCTGAGGAAGGCTTTGAACACTGGGAAGCATGGGTGCTAAGAAGGAGGATGGAGATATTCTCTGCTCCTGCTGTTGAAGTTGACCCACTGTGTTTAGAGTAAAATTAAATGCATGTGGTCAGAAAGAGTTATCAGGGTGGAAAGAAAGGGTTACCAAGGCTGCCTGTGTTGGTGGTGAAGGCAGTCACTTGAAAATCTTTTTTCCAGTGCTTCTGATGTGGATGGTATGTGCAATGTTTGTGTCATGTAGACAGCTGGAACAGGGACCAGTCCTCGGGGAGGTCCCCTGTGGCCAACAGTGTCACGCTCTCTCTTCCTCTCTCTGGCACTAACAGCCACCCAGTGGTACACCACGACACGGTAATGTCCCCTCCAAAAAACCCAAAGCATGACATTCTGAGAGTTGTTAAATGAGGCCAACTATCAATCCATCCCTTCTTTTTGAGTGAACAAAGGCATCCTAAGCTGATTCAGGCTTTCCTACCATATAAAGAATTATAGTACTCCATTTACTGGCATAAACACTGCAATGTAACTTAGCTGAACAGCAGTTACATGGAGTCTTACTTGAATGACGCAGTGCAGGATGTTGTACAGAACAGTTTACTCCCACAAAGCATGTCACAAAAAAAATGGAAATTATGTCATATTTCCACAATTTCCATTTTAATGCCAATTCAATTATATCATACAGACACTTTAGGAACTAGAAAAAGAGAGAAAAACCTACTCAGTCATTTGCTGAGGATAATTTGCTTTATTCATAAGTCAGCATAGATTCATGCTTTGGTATCATTTATAAAGAATCACAAGTCTTAGGAAGAGGTTGAAGTCTGCAGGAAAGGGGGAACAGAGAGACAACAGGATTTGTAATTAAAAGCTATATGGTAAGTGTACAGTAAGGTTTACTTACTGTGGAGACATGAACCCTCTTTTCCTTATCTGCTACTGAAGAGCTAATTTCATAATAGTCATCAGCAAAAAGCAGCTCTGGGTATTTTCTCACATGAAACATTTTGTTGTGTTCTGTCTCTCCCCCAGAAATATTAGCAATGAGCCTCCTGGAGAACAGGCTGTGTGACAGCTCAAGGTCATATGGTCCCAGCAGCAATTTAAGATTAGATAGTAGCTGGGGAATAACTATTATCCTAATGAGCTTGACTCTTCTACCTGCAAATATCTGCTTTAATCTTCTTAATAACCTTCTGGAATTAACTATATGAAGAAGAAAGACCAAAGAAAAACAGATAAGGCAAATGATTTTGGTCCATTTGGCATTTTTGAATGAATGCTTTGGTACAACAGCTTTGGAGAGCTGGTGTCTTTAGAAGTTCTCCAAATTTTCTTGAAAACCAAAAGGTGACTTTCATGTGTTACACACTCCCTGTAAACAGATCTGACGTGACTTAATGTTAACTGACTGTCAGCAACCTCTAAGACCTTTTTATTACTAGACCACTCATTACTGTGGAAACTTTCTATTAGTTTCTAAAAGGTGGATAAAAGGTGAATATACTGAAGATCATTAATTTCTGCAGAAAATAAATTATTGATAATAGAAGTACGGTAAACTTATCTGCTCTAAACTAAATGAAATTATCTTTACAGACCAAACTATACAACCTAGCAAATTCAATCTTTCTTCTCATCTGACATTGTTTTCTTTTTATTTTTGTCATTTCAAGCTTTCTAGTCAAAATATATGTGTGAAGGATCTTTAGGCCATTTAGAGTGCCACAGCTTTTAGTTCCCACTTTGAGATTGACAGAGTTCCTGGGAAGGAGGTTAAATGGCATCAAACCCAAAACATGTGAGGACAGAGAGGCTGTATTTATCTAGGTAGAGACAATACGAAACTGAGGCTACTATTTCCCCTTCCCTTCCCTTCCCTTCCCTTCCCTTCCCTTCC